CTATTTTAGCTTGGTGATTTGGATAGTTAAAATTCCATTACCTTTTGCTAGTTTTTTTTTAGCTTTTTATAAGTTTTAAGGGTCCGAAAATTTGAATTGCTTGGTGAAGAAATTGGTTAAACAATTATAATTTTCAACGTTCACAAATATCGTAAAATAAATTAACATACCCTATTGACTTGTTGGTTATTGTTATTTTTTATATGGATACCTGGTACTTGGAAGTTATGAGAATATAATGTAGGGAATTGGGGAAGGTCGATGATTGTTGCCTGGTTCAATGGTTTGGACCCATTTTAATGAATTTTGTAGACGTGTTTTCTTCTTATTTTGCAGAAGGTTCATGGATTTATATCTCAGTTCTTTTATGTTTCTTTGTTTTTCAAAAAATTATCTTCATAAGTCTCTCCACATCATAGATTTTTCATGGGTTTTAAATGCATATATCTATGTTCTGTTTATGTAGGCCCTGCATATACTTTTAATATGTTTCTCTTTATATCTCTTTCTATCACATTACTTGAAAGCAAAAGTTTTATTTTAATCAGAAACTAGTGATGTCTAGGTCTCTAAAGTTAATTTTTTGGATTATTTGGTATAACCCTGCTACCTCACCAAGCTTTTGCCGATTGTTGTCATGGGTATCATTTGTTTTGTCTGCCTTATCAAGCTCTATTAATGGTTTTTCAGTTTTATTGACCATATTGTTATCTTTATCAGCTTTTTGTTTGGTACTCGGTTTGGGCCTTCTGTTGGAACTTTTTTCCCCTTTGTGTCGGATTACATTTTCTGTTGTTTAGGGGTCTCCTAACTGTATTTTGTGCAGAACTTATAAATATGATGAGAGTTTGTAATGCGTCTGAAGTCACTTTACTATATTTGAATTATGTATAGACCCACAACTCATTGGAAAATCAGCAGCTCACAACATCTTTTACCGCTGTCTTGCTAACAAACTTAATGCTGCCCAAGACAACCTTTGAACATGAATCTGCCCAAGAACCTAAAATGAAGACTCATCAGTAGAACCAACATAGACGTCTTTGAGGATCTAACTGACAGATTTGGAAAGCAGAACTGATGAAGCTTTTGGTTGCGAATAAATAACCAGCAGAAACTAATAGGATCAATCTTTGACAATAGCAGTAGTATATCTAGATAAAACACTTTAAGACCCTCAACTGATTCAGAAAATCGACAGCTCACCGCTGCATCTTTCCTACTTTTGTCCTGCTAGCAAACTTAAAGCTACACAAGACATTTGGAAAATCACAACAGATATGTTGCTAACCCTTTGTTGAAGAAATTTAGGCTAGATGTTGTGTTTGTATAAATTAGAGTTGACTACTTATGATTTTGGGGAAAAAATCTAGACATCATACTTGGGTTTCTTAGATATCACATCTAACTCTTAAGCATCACACAACCGGAAAATTGAGAGAATTCTCAAAATATTTTAATAACTGAACTTAATTGCCTCAAAAGAATGTGAGGTAGGATTATCTGATGAGGAACAGGCTAGAAAGGAATCAGTGAAGATTGATCTAGCAAGGAGTTTACAAATGGAGGAGATCTTGTGGAGACAAAAATCAAGAGGCATGTGGATAAAAGACAGTGATCAAAACACTAAATTTTTTCATTTTATGGTTAGTCATCATAGGAGGATCAATTATGTGGAGAAAATGGTGATTGAGGATAGAATGATGAAGGGTAATAAGCAACTTAGACAAGAGGTTAAAAGCTTTTTCTGTAGACTATATCTAGACGAGTTTAATTGGAGACCTCAACTGGATGGTATTAGTTTTCAGAGTTTGGGGTGACAGGAGTAGAGAATTGTTAGAACGAGATTTCACAGAGGAAAAAATCTATGACGGACCTATGCAATGTAACAAGGATAAAGATTCGGGACCCAATGGCTTTAATATGGGATTTATATATAAGTTCTAGCACTTAACGAAGGAAGATATTCTAGAGATTTCTAAAAAAAATTTCGAAGCAAAAATGTTTGTGAAATCTTTAAATTCTACTTTGTTAGCATTAATTCCAAAAGTGGAATGAGTTACAAATATCAAGAATTTCAGGCCTATAAGTTTAATAAGGAGTGTGTACAAGATCATTGTGAAGGTATTGACAAGACGCATAGTAAAGGTACCGGGGGAGGTCACAGGAGAATATCAGAGCGTGTTTGTGGAAGGAAGAAATAATACGAATGTTTTTTTGGTAGCAAATCAAGTTGTGTATGATCTTTTATACCATAATAGATATGGAATTCTATCCAAGCTAAAAATGGAGAGAACGTATAACCATGTTAATTGGGTTTTCATCGATTATATGTTGATGACAACAGGTTTTGGTGGGAGATGGTGCAAGTGGATTAATTCCTATATCACAATGACATCTTTCGCAGTACTATTGAAAAGGTGGACATTGACTTCCTTCAAGGCTACGAGAGGCCTTAGGCAAGGAGATCTATTAGCCCCTTTGTTCTTCATCATAGCTATGAAAGCATTGAATATGTTGATGATGATATCTAAGGAAGAGGGTCTACTCAGAGAACTTAAGGTGGAAGGAGGAGAGCAAGAGGAGGAGAGCATTCATCTCATCTTCTCCAATTACACTCTTGTTTTCTATGAACTGGACAAGAATGCTTTTGCTTGATCTAGTTTGTTTTATTGTGTTTTCAAGCAGTGTTGGACTTTAAGATTAACTTTGCAAAGTTTGAGTTGGTGAGACTGGGCGAATGAGTAAATAAAGAGAGTTTGGCTAAAGTTTTGGGATGCAAGGTTGGAAAGCTTCCAATCAAGTATTTGGGTATGACTTTGGAAGCAAAATATAAAGATGTG